TAATTTTTATTTTCCTTCTCAGACGAAACTAAAGTAAAGAAAATAAAAAATTAAACTCTTTTGAAGAATTCATTTCTCTTTTCCTTAACAACATTATTCATAATGCTTTTATTGTTTAGGTTGCAAGTTAATTTAAATTTCTTTCATTTTTGTCATTTTTCTTTTAATACTAGTTATTATTTCTCTTATTTTAAATTGGTTTCATTCAGTTAGTAAAATGTGCCATATTTTATCAAATCCTGTAATTTCTGGAACTCTGCTAAATGAAGAACATTTACTAGCTTTAGAATGGATATCAGTATAAATGTCCAAAATAAATTGTAGCCAGTAGTTCTGAAGCACAAATTTATAAATATAGTCTTTATAGCAATAAAAACAAAGTTCCAATTAACATATTTTCTTGTTCAGTTCTTTGACAAAATAAATAAATTCTCGACTTTCCATTGAGACAAATTCATTCAGTTGTTTTGTCTACATTATTATTAAAATCTTCTATTACAGTAAACCTGTAATATAATTTGTCTACTTAAATTTACCCATAGTTGTATCACAGTGTTATCAAGAATATATATGTGTATAGTGTTGTTAGAACTTTTAACCCTGAGGAGTGTTATTGATATTTGTTGATTTTTCCTTCTCACAGTGGTACTACTTAACCAAATTAATGTGTTAAACTTAAAATGTTCTTAATGAATAGTATCTAGTTTCAGCATAATAAAAAATATAATTTGATTTAATTTTTCTATCATTTTTATGTTGTAAAATGTCTAATTTTTAGACACATTTTTTGAAAAATCATTATAATGTTTTCTAGCCTCTTAGAATTTTTTTTTTTTAATTTGTGATCAGAAAGTTGCATTTTATATGTATTCAGTCAATTTCAACTTGATTGATATGTATTAACATGTTTCTTTTGATACTTTATGTTTTTGGTTACTCATCACTTGTGGCTATAAATTGTAAATAACACTGCATAAACTTAAAAAGATTTATTGGCAGCTTAAAACCTAGCCTTTCAAAGTGGGATCAGGTTAGGCTAGGTAAAAATATTTTTGCTAACAATGCATCAATGTATATGTAATGAATATAGTTTCTTTTCAATAAATAAGTTGTTTTATGTATGTGCATTGTTTCAATATATAAGTATTTTAGTTATTAATATATTTTGCTATCACCTACTGTACTTGTTAAACCTAACTAAGTTTACCTAATATCTTTTTATACAAGAAAATTTCTGTAACTTTCAAACAAATATAATTTAACACAAAAACATTTTCAGGAACAAAAAGGAATATTTTAAGAAATTATAGGAAGACTCCTAGTCATGTGGTTTGTTGTTAAGTCATATAAACTTCTCATTAGATTCTGTTGTTCTTCCTTGCGGAAGGCTGGTCTTACCTTTCTCCCTTGAAACCATAAATTATTTCCCAAATTATATCCAAAATTTACGTCCATTGGGAGTTGAGCTCTAGAACACAGGTATTCCTGACCCATATTCAATTTCCTTACAGGAAAAATAGCTTTCTATTTCTGGACGTCATGTACAGATGTCTGTCAGAAAGTTGGTTAATTGTTAATATTTTTCTGTTCTCAAAACAGGAAAAGTTTGTTACTTGAGCATCTCTTTGCATGCAAACTGATTGAAAAACACAATCTAAATATACTTGCATCTTAACTAAGGAAGTAGCAGGCACATAGTATTATCTTGTACTACAACTCCGTGACCTTTCGACATGAATCTAATTAATTTTCAGAATGTGACTGTTCCTGAATGCATTAATCAGGATATATGCTTTGTCACGTGTCCTATGATAAATTATGTTTGTTATTCATATGTTTACAAATTTTTAGATAGTAAAAAGTTGACACGTGTGATGTTCATTAATTTCATTACAATTCAACCCAAAGGACATTGAATATTATGTTCACTAATTTAAAGAAACATTGACTTAAGTTTTGAATTGTTTGCATTCATTGCAAAGCACCTGTTTATTAATCATGAACATTCATCGGTGCTATAGATCAGAAATATATCTTGTTGAAAGGCAATATAACTGGCATATCTTTCCAGGAAAAAAAAAAAGGTTAAATTAAATTTGAAATTATCTTGTGTGAAATTTAATTTGTAACTTGTGGAATTATTGTTTTTATAAATATTATGTTGACAGTTTTAACTGATTTTGAAAGATGTTATTTAAGTTAATAATTTAAAATAAAATTCTATCAAGTTCATTCATGTAAATTATAGAATTGGTTTTCCTTAAATATTTTTCATATTTTACTTTGAATACTGAGAAGTGAAGTTTGGATTGTATTAGTTGTAGAACTTGTTTTGCAATCAATGTAAAACAAAATTATGAGAACTAAATAAGATTGTTTTCATTCATATTCAATCTAACGACCACTAGGACCATATGTCTCAATTGAAGCTATGTATATTTAAAGTTAGAACTTGTGCATGATCAGAAACTTCCATAATCACAAAGAAGCCACTTGACTGCAGAACACAGCACTTGATGTCATTCTTTTGATGGAAGAACGTTTCAGCTGTAAGTGAATGATAGACATTTTCAGGACTCCAGACATGTGCAATATTTGCAGTACTGAAGATTTCTATCACTGTCCACAGCTTTTTCTTCCATAAAAAGAACATCAAGTTTTTGCTGTGTTCTGCAGTCAAATGACTTCTTTTTGAATTGAGAAATTTATTACAGAAAGTTTTGATTAACATTTAAAGAAATAAGGATTCCAAAAATGAAAGGAAGTATTTTTAAAGTTTTATTCAAAACAGTGTCTCAGAACATAAATAAAATGATAGAAAAATTGAATTAAATTATATGAATTTCTTTAAGCAGAAATTAGATACCATTTAAGTGAGTTAGTTCTGAGTTTCTTGTAATTTGGTCTCCTCGTCTGGAAAGGACTTAAGATGCGTCTTACATTATTATTGCTTGCTGTGTCTAGAACAAGTTTTTTTTTTCATCCAGAACAACAATGTTTATTAACACAACTACTGCATTAGAATTACAAAGTTCAAACTATATAAGCTTTTCGATTGAACAGATTTAGATATTTAAATATACTACATGCTTTTTCTTTGTTCCTTTTATCTTAAGCACATGAATAGGATTCACTGTATTATGCATCAATTTTTACTTATAGGGAAAAACTAGGATTCTGTTGTCGAAAATTCCATTTTTCAAAGATGTGGTTATTATGTCTTTTTGTTGTGATCACTGTGGCTGGGAAAACAATGAACTTCAGTCAGCAGCAACAATTCAGGAAAAAGGTGTTGTTTATAGGGTGAAAGTCTCAACTGTTGAGGTAAGCACAAGTCTGTGGAGACAGATGTAGTTGTTTATTTGTTGTTTATAGGATGATAGCCTCAACTGTTGAGGTAAGCACAAGTCTGTAAAGACAGCTGTAGTTGTTTATAGGGTGATAGTCTCAACTGTTGAGGAAAGCACAAGTCTGTGGAGACAGATGTAGTTGTTTATAGGGTGATAGTCTCAACTGTTGAGGAAAGCACAAGTCTGTGAAGACAGATTTAGTTATTTATAGGGTGATAGTCTCAACTATTGAGGTAAGCACAAGTCTGTGAAGACAGATGTAGTTGTTTATGGGGTGATAGTCTCAACTGTTGAGGTAAGCACAAGTCTATAAAGACAGCTGTAGTTGTTTATAGGGTGATAGTCTCAACTGTTGAGCTAAGCATAAGTCTGTGGAGACAGATGTAGTTATATATATTTGTTGTTTATAGGGTGATAGTCTCAACTGTTGAGGAAAGCACAAGTCTGTGGAGACAGCTGTAGTTGATTATTTGTTGTTTATAGGATGATAGCCTTAACTGTTGAGGTAAATACAAGTCTGTGGAGACAGATGTAGTTATATATATTTGTTGTTTATAGGGTGAAAGTCTCAACTGTTGAGGTAAGCACAAGTCTGTAAAGACAGATGTAATTGTTTATAGGGTGATAATCTCAACTGTTGAGGTAAGCACAAGTCTGTAAAGACAGATGTAGTTGTTTATAGGGTGATAGTCTCAACTGTTGAGGTAAGCACAAGTCTGTGAATACAGATGTTGTTGTTCATTTCTTCACACGTATATTGTGACAAATTAACACTCATTTATAACATTTCATTTGAATGTTCTACTGTTAATATAGAGCAGCATTTTAAATTTGTGAGTTACAAGAGGTGTTGGGGGGAGATTGCTGAAGAAAAAAACTGAAAAAAAGATTTGTCCGTGAACAAGCAAAAGCACAAAATATAAGAACACCAATAGACTTTACTGTAATTGACCTTATTCCAAACTGAGCATGGGTCCCAGAAAATGGCTTGGCTACTCAGGTGGGTAATGAGTTTGGAAAGTTTTTGGAGAAATATCTGATATAGATAGGGTACAGAAACAAAATAAATGGGCAAGTCAAGTCAAATGATGAGTTTCACTTGGAGTTAATATTTTGATAAGAATTCTATTTAAAAGCCATAGCAAAGTTCTTTAGCTTTTCACTTTAATGCAATATTTTTTTGCACAGTAAATTTTAGGCATGCTGCTTTTTGAAATAACAGAAGTTATTGAATTTTTTTAATTTATTTATTTCATTCTCTCAATATGGCTCAGTCAATTTGACCTGCTGTGTGACCTTTTTGTACTCATTCAAAGTCTTTATAGATTTGATACTACTAACATTTAATATAGTATGTAAATTTTCATGAAACTTGGCATTATTTTTAGTTATTTTATTTTTATAAACTAAAAAAAGATTTGTCCATGAATATATTGAGTAGTTCTTTTGAATTGTCCGTATGCAAAGTGATTTTCATGTTAAGATTAAAAATACTTTTTCATCTCAAAAATGTCAAATTTCAGTTGTGTAATCTCTGAAACCTCCAAAATACATTTCAGATGTTTGTTTTCAATAAAACTTTATATCTTATCTGTTATTTTCTCTACCTTAACTCTCTACAAGGTTGGTCAATTTGACAAAAATTTGGTGCTATGAATTATTTTTATTTTGTTCATACATTCTAAAAAATAATTTGGAAAATGCACTCGTAAGTAATTTTTTTGTATATTATAAAAGGATCTAAAACGGCAAGTAGTGAAGACAGAATTGGCTTCATTAACTATTCCAGAACTACAGTTTGAAATACCTGCTCGTAGCCAAGAGGGAGGTAAGAACTTGTTTGATTATGTATGTCCTAAAGATTGAATGAAGGGTATCAAACTGAGAACAGGTCATCAGGGCCTTATCCAGATTTTAAATCCTTAATGATGGTATTTGCAAATGTTAAGGGTTTTGAAAGTACAACTAATAGTAGTGTTAATTTTAAGTTTTTGTCAGTGTTCTTTAATCACTTCATTTGAGACTAGAATTTAGAAGTTATCTTTTTTAAAATTGCTTTCTAATAAGATTAATAGAGGCAGAAAAATTTTGGGTTAAACATTTTTTTTCTCCTTGCAAAGCCAAAAATTAGAAAGAGAAAAAAAATTAAACTCTTTTGAAGATTATATTCAAAATTATTACAAGGTATGTTTTTGCATACATATAAAAGTTTTGTTCTGTCCAAAATACAATCACTTTAAGACTAAAACCATGTTTGTAACTTGTCTTGAATACCAATTATTTGAATAAATAATTAATGATACATTAGGCTTTCTTAATACATTCAATTATAATGAATCGGCAAGATATGATTTCCTATTATACTTACTCGTTTCTTTTTATAGAAAAAAGAAGTTTTATAATAATATATTGATGTATGTTTTGTAGTAGTAGTAGCCTCCACCAAGAGCTTATATTTGCTTAAAATATCATAGAAATAATGATTCTTTAACTTTAATCTGGCATGGCCTGATGGTCATGGTGTTTGACTCACAACCTGCAATTCACAGGTTCGATTCCCTGTTGCTGAGCGCAATTGCCCTTTAAGCCATGGAGGCATTATAAGATGATGGTCAATCCTACTATTCGTTGGTTAAAAGAGGAGCCCAAGAGGTGGTGGTAGGTGGTGTTGACTAGGTGCCTTCCCTCTATTCTATCACTGCCAAATTAGGGATGGCTAGCACCAAGCACAGATAGCCCTCGTGTAGTTTTTTTTGCAAAATTTAAAACAAACCAAACTTATCCTTTGATATTTTTTTTCAGGTGATAATACCTTTATAAAATGAGTATTTTTTATGAATTATTAATACATTCTGATCAAAGCTGTCTACTTACATTGGTAGGAACTAAAAATTAACCCAGTAAATAATCTAGCTAATTCAATATACTGGTCTAACTAGGCACATGCAGTGACATAAAACAAAACTTACAATGATTTGAAGGCATTAATTCATTAGTTGGGTACCCTTACTGTTATAATTTTTGGCTGAATTCAAATAATATCTTATGAAGTTTGGCCATCTTAGAAGATTTCATGTTAGTTCAAAAGCTATATACTAAGTTAACAGAACAAAATAATTCTTATTATACATGTATATAAATAAATAAATAGCTACAAACTATTGATTACGTTAATTGTCAATAGGCAATTAAATCAGCACTATAAAACAATAATGAATTAAATAGTGCAATACCGTTATTGTTCCAGATTGTCAACTTATTGTCATAAGGGTTAATGTCTGTGGCATTATGGTGGTTTCATTTCAACTCATTTGTACTTTAAGAAAATTAAGGGTAACTGCCTTCCCACAACTGACTATAGACAGTGAAAAGCAGAAGAAGCTGAGATGTTGTGGGTGTGAGCACTCAGCCTCGTACCCTTATTTGATTGATTTTTTAAGATTCTCCATGACGGCTAACTAGATTGATATTAACGTTTGGATTTTGTCTAATAGATAGGATATCCCCAATGCATTTGGGTGCTTTTACCACAGCCATTATACGTTATGACAGTAAGTTAACAACCTGGATCGATAACAAAATACAAAAATATAATCGGCAGATTTTGAAGTTTTTGGGAAGGATTGGGCTTTTGTTTCAAGTTCTTCCAATTTACTTCTAATTACTCATGCTGTTGTAAAACCATAGATATTTGATCCATGTTTTTTGAAGAAGCTTGGGCGTTTAATTGTTATTAATTATATATAAAGAAATACCCCATACTTTATTATGTGGATATCTGAACTTGTATAACATTATTTAGCTTTTCTAAAAACTTTCCTAACAGAGTTTGCATGGAGATGTGGGTATGTTTTAATCATTTCACCAGTAGAAATTTTATGTTGTGCAGTATGATAAAGATGATATTGAATGTTGCTGATGAGAAAGTTATTGGGGTTAATAAAGAGTTATAAAACTTTAAATTTCATTGAATTTTATATTGTGATATGTCATTAGAAGAAGAAACTAGAAACTCCTTTTTTCTTCAAACACGATATAGTTGTGACAACAGTTGAAGGGCTCCTAAGCCGAGCAATCATGGGTCTCACTTCCCAAAAAGAGCACCTTCAGGTGAGACTTAAAAATGTTAAAATTCTGTACTCGAAAAATAAAATAATTGGAAACACAGTTAGTAAGGACTAATTTTCCCTTCTTTATATTTCTTTCATTTGTTAATAATGAACATTATTTATAATTTTTACAGTTCATAAACTTTAAGTCTGTCTCAAGAACTAAGTCCTTGGTGAATTTTATTTGTTGGTCACCAAGAGGTAGTTGAAGATCATTAAAGCCTAAGAAAATTTCTTGTTGTGTTGAAGGATATTTTGTTTGGTAGTTTTAAAAAAAATTTGATATTCTGCTAAAAAATTTCAAAAACAATATGCATTTATTAAAGAGTTTGCTACACTTACAGTATTTCTAAAATATATGTTTTAGAAAACAAACTAGTCCTGAATGGAGAGCCAAAGCCAGTTTAGTGAAATGTGACTGGATGTTTCAGTTGATGTATATGAATAATCTAACATATGTTTAGTAGAGCCAACTCTTAGAAAGTTGGTGTAAAGTAACTCTGCGTCTTTGGATATTTTTAATGTTTGTGAAGCTGTAAAATGCATATACCTATTGATTACAACAAATAGAAATAACTAGTGGAATCACTCATGATAAAAAATTATCTTCAACAGAGGTTCTACAGTTTCCATTTCCAACCTTCTTAATATTCTCTGAAGAAACTTGTGCAATAATAAAAATAGTAGCATTTAGTGAGCTATAAAACATCAAAGTAACAGTTGTTTGTTTGTACTTATTTATAAGGTATTAAGTAAAAAAAATCCTTTGAATTACATACTGGCAATGTTTATGGTTTGTTTGCTTGTCTCATCATTATTTAGGAAGAAGACCCAGTGGCATCCCAGAAGATATCAGAATTTCTGATTAAACTGTGTGAACTAACAGAAGTGAAAACAACTTATCATTTGGTAAATCTTCATGTTCACCAAGATAGTAATATTGCTTCACATTTACTTTACTCTAGACTTTAGAGAACTATTTCTCTTTCATTGGTTTGCTTCATTGTTTTTTGCCCTTTATTGTTCACATATAGTCAACATACAACTACATTTCTTCATAACATTTACATTTATTACCTAACCAATCAGGTTATGTATATGAAGTCGTGCAGCCAGAGATCCTCTTTTGTCTACCTTAGTGTTGACTAAAATCACTTCCAGTAGATGTTTTAATTTTTATTCTTTGTATGTATTAGATGGACAGAAGCTTTAAAATCCGTGTTTTGATATGTTAAACATTCACTGAGTGGGTTTTAAGTTCTTGCTCAGGTTTATACTTTTTAGTGATCTTTTCCTGTTTTTTATAATCAACATTTTTGTTACCTTCAAAATATAATGTTGGTAAATGGAAACATTGGCTCATGTAGATATGTAGATCTTGAAAATCGAGTTGTTCAAAACTTGAAAATAGCATTGATAACTGAACCAATTGTTGGTTGAGATGTTGCAAAAGAAATATCTGCCAGACACTAATCGTAGCAGAACAGGAACTAGTACAGCTTATAAAAAGAGTCAGGTCAACGTAGACCGGTAAGGCAATCACTGATTGGCATGTCGTTTAGACAATCAGGAAATGTCACAGACCTACTGAAGGATGTGTAGATTGTATAGGAATTCTTTTTGGTAACAAAGGACAGGTTTATGTGTTTTAATAAAAGTGGCTTCCAAAAATATAGAAATGAAAGGTCGACCGACCATTTGCAATAATTTCAAACATGCTAACTGTGTAGTTGTCAGCACAAGTCAGGTTCACTAGTAAATGCTGGCCAATCGCTGATTCACATTTTGGTGGTAGAACTTTTGTTTTACAGGAGCGACATGGTAAATTCTTTTCTTTCACACTCTTATTTCTTATGGATGTGGGTACTTGTTGTTTAATTCTATCCTGTAATCTTTGTGAAGTGCGACCTGCGTATCGACATTCGCAGTGGCACGAAAATTCATAAATAACCATACGTTTCTATGTGGTAGGTATCGCATCTTTGTGTGTTGCAAGCAATAATTTACGTGTGGAATAAGCAAAGTAGAGGTTCACTGAAGGAAAACATTTAGTAATGGCCGTTTTCAATTGTTTTTCGAATTTTGTTGAAATGTTACCAATCCATGGTAGTTTTAGGTAAACAGGACACTTGTTAGGAACAAATTTTGGGTCAGTTGAGAAGCTCGCAATTTTCCTTGAAGGAATTTGATTGATGACATTTTCTGGATACCCATATTCTAGTAAAATAGTTTTAATTGTCTTCAATTCAAAATCTAGTTTAGATTTTGAACAGATAACTAGAGCCCGATGGACTAAAGTAGCAATAAGGTTCGTTTTGCGATTTTTGGAACAGAAAGAATCCCATCGTGTATATTGTCCTGTATGTTATGATCTGTGCAAGAACTCAACTAACGGATGTTTCCGCATATAAAAGCTATCCTCAAGTAATGTAGTTTTATGGTTCCAGAGTTTTTTTCATAACACAATGTCAGATATATTTCTTATAGTGCATTTCTAGATTTCCAGTGTGGTTTTCACAGTGTAGTGTAATATTAGATTTCTAGAGTGGTTCTAAAAGAGCATTATTAGATTTCCAGAGCCAAGCCGTCCTAATAATGTAGTTTTAAATTTCTAGAGTCGCTCCTATAGTGTAGTGTTAGTTACAGAGTTGTTCTTGTGCGATTATAGGTTTCCATTGTCGTTCTCATAATGCAATATTATATTCCTATAGTCGTTCTTATAATGCATTGTTACTTTTGTAGAGTCACCATCTAAGTGCATCTTAGAATGTACGATTTGTCATAGTGTAGTGATAGATTTCCAGAGTTGTTCGTGTAATGTAATATCATATTTCTAGAATGATTCTCAAAGTGCAGTATTAAGTTTATAGTTTTTCTTAGATTACCGATTAGATGAGATTAATCTTATATTATAGTGCAGGGTTAGACTTACAGAGTCGTTTTCATAATGTAATTTTAAAGTTCAAGGTCGTTCTCATAAGACATTTGTATTTCTATAGTTGTTATTATAGTGTAGCATTAGTTTTCCAGAGTCGTTCTCATAATGCAGTCTTATATTTCCAGAAACGTTTTGATAGTGCAGTGCTATATTTCCATTGTCATTCTCATATTGCAGCGCTAGATTTCGAGAACGGTTCTCATAATAGATTATTATATTTAGAGTCGTTCCCAAATTTAAATGTTAGAGTCATTTTTATACTGGAATGTTAAGATTTGCAGTCGTTCATATATGAAGTGTTAGATTTTCAAAATCATTATCATTATGTTAGATTTTTAGTGTCTTGTTACAATATTGTGTTAGATTTGCAAAGTAGTTTTTATAGTGTAATATTATATTTCCAGTAGTTGAGTGGAATTCTAGCTGATACTCATAGGAGTTGCACCGACTGGTGTTGACCAATCATAAGGAGGTTAGCTGACTTACATTAGGTTGAAGAAGGTTCTTTTACAGTTGTTAGCTGTGTCCTTCTTGATGTACCATTTTGTTTTATTTCTAGCTGTACCATACAATACTTTGTTTTCTATCTGTTTCTTTCTTTTTTGAATGTTGTCATTTCACTGTACTACTGCATAAATAGTCAATATCCTACAGCAAAGTCAGGCCAGATTTGGTAAATGAGATTCTCTTGCTAGCTTATTAGCCTACTCATTTAATGTTACAATAGAATGGTCTAGAGCACATATCAAGTTGCTTTGTTTTTACCATTCATCTGGACACCACACACACTCTGAATTTTATGCAGTGCTGCCTTCGAGTCAGTAAAAAAATATTATATTGGTGGCACTTTTTAGTTATGGTTCATTGCTTTCAACAATCCAGAGGAAACTTGTTTAATGTTTTTCTGTTCTATTCTTGTGCTGCTTTTGGGAAGCTTAAATTCTCCATCAGCTTTGTGCAGAATGTTTTTGCTCCATGGGATGATGAATACCTAATCAGCTTCCTCACAGTCTGTGGTGTGTGAACCATCTCTGACTGTTATTAAACGTAACTGTCCACCATATTATTTATATAGGTGCTGAAAGCCGTTTTATGTTTCACCATCTTTCTAGTTTCTACATTTTCTATCTAGACTGAGTTACATACAGCTCATGTGGTATCCAATGTTTATTTCAGGCATCTGAGATCTGGTGGTGACCAATCTTCCCAGTGGTGGCTGTACAGCACCTGTCTCTGGAGGAGCCTTTTATGCATCCTCTGTAGGGCTGGAATGTCCCAATTGAAAAGTGCAGTGGCTCGTTCATGGTATTTACACTGCAAGGCCCTAGTGAATAATTTTGTTTGTAAGCATTGTTTGCGTTCTGTGATGTTACTTAGTCTTGTGAAGTGTAATAAAACATTGATGGGAGTGTCTGAAGTACATTCTGCGACCAGCTAGTTTATCTAGCTGCATTGTACTCATACTGTTCATTAGTAGTGCATAATCTCGAATAAAGTGGCTAAGGCATTGGTAGAGTATAAGCAGGTAACGATCTAAAACTGTTTTCTTTCCTGCTGCAACTCTCAATGTGTTGATTTCTTTTGTAGCTCTTCTTATTAAAGTGTTAATGTGGCTGAAGTTGAGTCGTCTGTAAAAGGTTAATTCCAGGTACTTCAACTATTTCTTCCAAAGGGATGGCAGTACTCAAAAGGATGGTGACAGTCCTTATCATCAGGTATATTGTTGTATGTGCAGAACATGTCTGTAGTTTTGACAGGATTGATTGCCCTTCTTGTGACATTGCACGATTTTTTTATCTTACTAAAGGGTGGTTCATCTTCCTTTCGATTTTACCTTTGTTAAAGTCTTTGTCATCAGCAATGATTAGAATACAGTATGCGATTAGACTATCAAAGTGGATTAGATGCATGTTGTAAATGTTGAAAAGGAAAAGAAAAAGTGACGATCTTGAGGTAGAATGGTATTGATGGTAATTCAGTCTGATTACCAGCTTTCAATCTTCATGATACGTCTTCTGGTACTTAGTCCACCTACAACTCTTTTTTCTTTAATATGTTACATACACTGATGCCTAGTCTGAGTATTTTGTCAGCAAGAATAGTTAGCTGTACTCTGTTGTATATCTTACAGATCTGGAATTACTGCCATGGTGTTCTAATCAGCTTCAAAGCCTTCCCGTGTATCAGATGTGAATTTAGCATCGTTTTCTTCTTCCACGATAGTCACCTAAAGACGAGACTAGCGATAGTTCAATCTAATAAGCAAGTCTTTTAGTTACAGCAATGATATTGTGCAGGGTGATGATTTGATAACCTTTGAGATGAGAAATCTCCAATCGGTTTCGAAAAGATTTGATAATAGCATCAATCCACACTTCAAGGATGATATCTGTTACCCATCTATGTTGATAATCTGAAATTAACTTCTAATCTTCATATAAGTAAAGATTCTTACACCATTCACACCTAGAGTTTCATCTCTACATATATTCATCGTTCTGTGCATCACGTTTAAGCTATAGATGGATTCCATATCCCCAAGTAGTTGCAGTTCAGATACAGATTACTACAGCTTGGACCTCTCTTGCATGCACTATGGTCCCATTGGTTAATGCAACTACAAACGAAGGCCTTGCCTTGTTCTTCGCCTGTTTGTAGTGAGGTATTGTGATCGTCATAATGACTGACATCACCAATGTTTTTGTTCATGTTTTAGAAATAAGCTTGTAGAAGTGCCGGAATGACGTGCCTGTGAAACTGGCCTTGTTGCATAGTTTATTTCATCTCTTATGCTTTGGAAGATGATCTCACCTGGCTGGCTGCCTGACTGGGTCGGATCATTTCTTGACAACATCAACTCAGCCTAAGCTTGATTGTATAGTTCCCAAACTTATATAAATATCACTGTTCCATCAGTATAGTGTGTTCCTTTCGCATAATGTTTTGCCTTAACCTTCATTTAATGGTGGATAAACGCTTCAAGGTAGCATTTCTCAGCCGTTT